GCAGCAGAAGCCCAGCTCAGCTTCAGGTATTCTTGAAACTACACCCTGAGGGCGAGCTTTGGAGGTAGAGCTCGGGCACACCTGATGACTAGGTGTTACGGAAGGGCCTCGCCCCGACACTGGCTGCCTGTTTCCTCTCCTGCTTTCCGTCAGTTCTGCTAACGGACCAAAGGAGTTCTGTGACGCAGAAGTGACAGAAAAACCGCTCTACCAGAAAGTCGCTAGCTGTTGCCAGAGCTGCCAAGGAAGGGAGAGGGGTAAAGTACATGAGGATGTTGGCAGTGGAGGAAGGAGGAGTTCAGTGCAACGTAAAAGCAATTTGCATAGGAGGATTTGCTGCTAGAAGGTGTCAGGGCAAACGTTTTATACACCTCATTTACCAGCCTCTGAATTGGGCTCTTAGATGATTTCTGAGGAACATCTTGTGTACACAAGCCTACAAACAATGTAGATTAAGGAAATAGAGGAACCTGATCTTCTGGTGAACTTAGGGTTGCGCGTGTGCGGGTAACATCCATGTCAGAGCCGCGTCTGTAAAGCATTTTTAAAACCTGTTGACAGAAAGTGTGGTTTGTTTTTCCTTTCCAGTTTTTTGAATGGGTAGACTCTGATTTGCTTAAGGTCTGTCCTTGTTGACCCTTGCTCAGGCAAACAATCCAATGCATTTTGTTTTGTTTTTTTTTTTAACATAATAATTTCCAATAGTTGCCTCTGGGAAAAATTTCTTTTGTTTTTCTTTTGCTTTGTTTAAACTTACTGAAGACATCTCAATGTTGAAATTTTCTGAATGATTGGTGCTTTATAACGTAGAGTCTGTAGGCATGTGTAAGTACGGTGCAGACAGGTTTATCTTCTTGTGTTTCCCTCCTTTGCGCACTAAACAGCTGAGTTTCAGGCATGGGTTCCCTTCTGCCTTTCTGGCTTTGGGGCTGAAACATGGGGCAGGCGGCTGGAAGTGGTGACATTTTAAAAGTGTCAGAGCAAGATTTGCAAGAAGGCCGTATGTACATGTGATGGTGCTACTGGTAGTCTTATAAAATTACTTTGCTTAAGCAAACCTACAGAAGTAATTAACTGGATAGAAATTGAAGCACAGTATATTCAAAAGCAGTAATTTCTGCAGTGGAGTGTAATTCTTTTTCCTTTCTGTTCTCTTACTTGTGAATTTGTAGTATTTGTCTGCTTGATCAGTTTTTGCTCTGTGGATTTTTTTTTTTTAGTCTTCCCAGTTCTGTAAGCCATTGGGACATTTAAAAAAAAATTGCTGACTGCTAATTTTGTGTTGTTCCAAGCATAAGGAAGACATTGCTTCCTTCAGTGAGCAGTCTTAACCCAGAGCCCGTATTTCCATTTATTAGTGATTGCATAATGTAGTGTCTTCTTAAGTCTTAACTTCTCACATAATGAGAAAGATTTAATCTTGAAGCTTTTTTTTTTTACTTAGTTGCCATGTTTTGCCCTTTCATGTGACATGCCAGTGTCTTGTTTCTGATTGCAGGCTAACTTTGCTTTGGAAAAGCTCCGTTGGCTTTAGTGAAATTATTCTGATTTAAATCTGTGACATTGGAATCAAGCCTTTAGGGTTTATATTTTCATTGTTACATTTCCCTTTTCTACTGCTGATGCTTCATTTCTGCCCACTTTCTCATGCTGAGTTGTGTGGAATTAATTGCAGATAAAGTTCAATATATGGGTTAGGGTGTTGGTAACAGAGCTGGTGAGGTGGTGGTGGTGGTAGTTGTTGGTTTTGTTTTTTTTATCCAGCCTGTGTCATTACAGGGTGACATGGTTGTGAAATATATCGGATAGAATATCGGCTACAGATTAGAGTGTACATTTATGCCTCATTAAAATCTCTCTGAAGCCTTTGGGTATTAGATAGGCTCATTGCAACAGTGTTTTTCAGGCATCCAAGTGGCAACTGATCCTATTTTAATTCCAAGTAAAATTAAATGTGTTTTAGGGTAAATGAGCCATACCAAGAATCTACCATGTAAATATGTGTAAAAACATATGGAAAATGATAGTTTTAAAACCTCTTTTCTCAGTGAGTAAATGTACAACATACATTCTCTTCTTGTTCTTTGTTAAGATGGTGCCTTTTAAAGGTGGTGTGTAAAAAGCCTGTTTAAAAAAAGCATATTCATTGTGTTCTATATTAAGCGATGATGTAGTCAGACTTGGATTGGGTAATTGCAGCTCTAAAGATGCTGGCACGTCAGGAAATGAAATTGCTGTGAGGAGCGGACGTTTACTGACTATGTAAGTGGGGAATGAGGGAAACTGAATATAACCTCTTGGAAGCATGAAAAAAATTTCCGTAAACTTTAAAGTAATTCAGTGCATGTCCTTCTAGACATACAAATAAATATTACAAGCATTCAAAATTATACCTATGTCAGACCCAAAAGGGCGTTTTGCCCAGCCTCTTGCTGCCTCAGTATATTTTGGTGGACATTCATCCAGTTCATTTTAAAGCTCAGGAGTGGCAAAAAGCTGTATTGCTGCTAGGTTGGTTGATCACATTACCTCTAATGTGCACTATCTGCAAAGTCAGCTGCATTCTCTTCACCTACAAACTTTAATATTGGAATATGGTAACATTTGAGTACTTGATTTTTGCAACTTCAGTGCTCTGATAACATGAGTGTGTGTTTGCATGCTGGGGGCAAGATCATACACTATGTGTTTGAAACTGGTAAGTGTTTGAGCAAAAAATTTTGCCAATAATTTTTTTTTCTAGTAGTACTTTGGAAAATAGAACATCTCCCTCTCCTCAGTAAAGTTGCCCATGATTCTTGTTTTCAGTAGTTTTACACACGCAAATGTAATTCCTTCTTCATTCTGTTTTGTGTGCTAGCAGTTTACGTTATTTTTTAATTGTATCTTAGCTTATCAGTGAAGTAATTTTTATTTAATTGCTAGGAGTGAATAGGTAAACTTACGGTCAGTGAGATAACTGAATGTTATTAAACACTAGTATGATAAGACTACATTATGATAGACCTTAGAATGAAAATGGAGTGATTTCTCAACTTTTATTTTTAAAAGTTTGG